TTTCTTTCTCTTTAAGTTGATCTCTTCTTTTCACCTGAATCAAGGCATTGTTCTGCCTTTTTTTTTTGTCCGACTCTGAAGCATCCCAAAAAGATTTCTATCTACTGTCCATCACATCCACCACCGGGTGTGGTGAAAGCAGTGCAGGTTTACCTCTCAGTCACAGCTTCAACCCTAAACTTTGATAATCTGATGTTCTGCCAGCAGGCTCATGTAAGGGGTACTTTATCTCATTCCACTTTACCTAGGTGGAATAAGAAGGTTATCTCTAAGGCTTACACCTTATAGACAAGATTATTCCCCTTCCTGTTACTGTCAGTATCATTCATTCAGTCAGCACCTCTTGGGATTTTCAGTACCAGACATTCGTTTCTGAAATTTCCAAGGCTACCACTTGGTCCACAGTTCATATGTTTGTGAAATTTGGTTTCAAGGAACTGATTCTCTTTATTTTGGTATTATTGTTGTGTTGCCTACTGTTGTGTTGCCTTTGGTCTATTGCTCCGGAACGCCCCACGTTCCATGACTAAAGAAGCATGTGTTCTGTACTGTACAATTAACAAATAAAACTTTTTGAGGTTCCTGTAAAATCCTTTTCTTGGAGTGTAGTACAAGACAAAGAACACCCTCCCTTCTGTCCTGGTGGTTTCTTTGGCTTCCAACATTGAGATAACTGAGAATGGAAGAGGTGGGCTGTCTCACAATTCTGTTTGGCAGAGTCCAATCACCTGAAGGTGGCTGCATATAATCCAAAGTCTATTATTAGAGGAGCCTGTGTCCTGTACTGTACTTCAAAAAAAAGGATTTTAGAAGTAACTCAAAAACCCTTATTTCTTTATTGTTCATTGGAGATGGGCCAATTTAATATGGAAATTGCCATGACCCAGGAGCCACGAGGATCTACCTGGTGCTCCAGATAAGTCAGATAGTCACCAATAAGGGGAAAAACTGTTACCTGAGGGAAGTAGGGCCCTTAGTTAGCAAACTGTAGGTCCAACAAACCGTCCACCAAATAAAACAGCTGAAACAGCACACTACTTAAACAGGAGAAAACTAGACCAACAACTAAGGTGATCACCAAAAAAGGAAATGCTTATGGAGCTAAGTTCCGGAGAGAAAATAGGGGAGAGGAAATGTAAACAAACATACTATCATGCAATGCCATAATCCAAAAGCAAAAAAAAACATTTTGGATAACTTTAAAAATGGCATAAGCCTAGCATATCTCAGCGTTGACTTCAGGGAAAGGAAGCTTGGACAGAAAAAAATGACCAGAGAAAAAAACAGTCAACAGCAGAAGGCTAAAGATTGAGATATGGAAATTCCCTCCCCATTTAAGGGATCCCACATGCATGGCCATACATAGCCGGGCACAGTGACGTCATGCGCCGCCTTCTGACAGCGCAGGCATCTTGTGTTGGGATCCCTTAAATGGGAAGGGTGGGTGGCAGCTCTTGGTGTTATGGCGGTGGTGTTGTGTATTCCTAGGCAATCTTGGGACCCTCTGCATGACATGGTGGTGGCGTCTTTGAGAGCCGGAATTCTTGATGTTTCTCAGGGGTTCAAATATTTATGTTCAGCAGTGCAAGACAAATAAATTCTTTAAAAATCATACAATGTGATTTCCTGATTTTTTTTTAAAACTCTGTCTCTCAGAGTGGGAATGCACCTACAATGTGAATTTTTAGACCCCTCCATGATTTCTAAGTGGGAGAACTTGCAAAATCGCAGGGTGTTCAAATACTTCTGTTCCTCACTGTATATATATGTGTCTCTTTACAGACACATGATTGGCTGGGGAACATATGCTATCTGGGAGAGCCATAATTCAAATCAACAGGTTATCCCAGAAAGAATATTATCATACTGTCATTATTAGGGAGCTCACCTAGGGTCATTGATCCATTATATGCAAGTAAGGCCAATATTTCTTTTCTTTTTGCACTTTTTTTTACTACTGGTTGTTTCTTTAATCAGCATCCCAGTGGGAGGCAAAGGAGGCCAGTATGCTCTATAAACCGAATATTGTGTAATTGTCTTCTCCCCCTTTCTGTGTCTTATGTAGAGACCTCTCCATACACATACATATGTGTTTTATTTGGACAAGAACCAGTGGCTCTACCATGTTCAAATAAGTGGGGAGGTTAGTCAGATTTCTATAATTATAGTGGTATTAACCATCGAGGAGGGCCCCATCACACTGCCTTCAACTATTACATACTTCCTATAAGTCAGGTACTGTCATGGGGTATGTGACTTGCCCTTCTAGCTTTGCTGGGATCCCTTCATCGATTGGCCCCTCATGGTTTGGCTGGACGCTCCCTTCCATTGCATGTACTTTAAGGTATTACAATTGTTCTATTACCAATTGGTCTGGCATGTATACATTTAGTAGTGTATATAATGCTTGTTTATCAATATAACTTATATTCTTTTATATAGAAGGCTCCTGAAGAAGCGATGTTATTGCAAAACATGTTGAGCTATCGCATTTACTACTATCAGAGTGCCCTCTCTTAACCTTTGCCGAGTTACGGCATATTTTCTACTGTGGGACCCATTATCAGTACATGAATCTGCACTGATTATACATTGCTGTATGTTACAGGGGTAGCTCATACTCTGTAACAATTTTATAATTGTATGTACTATTTTACGTTTATGTGTGTGCTTAATAAAGTGATATTCTTTTATGAACCATTGTCGTAGTGCCTATAAAGTCCATAAGGGTCTTTCTTTTTCAGCTTAAGACTAAAGCTGTTCACTCCAAACCCTGGACTTCAGGGAGTTACATGATATTACAGGGTGTTACCTAATCTGACCACCACTTCTCACCCTGGATTGCCATGCCAGGTTGTTAGGGGTGCCCTCTACATTATGTATTTTCACACAGTGTCATCCATTTCCATGGTGCAGGTGAGCTGCCGGCCAGCACCATGGAAACACATTAATATAATCTAAAGCTAATCCAAGGCAGGCGGCACTCATGGCAGCTATGGCGAAGATCAGAAGGTAGGACTCACTTGTGAAAAGGGGGAGGGAAGCTGAGGAATATGATGTGGTAGGATGTGGAAAAAAGAAGATAGTAATCCTGAATCCTTTTTAGGGAGAGGGTGGGGTGGCCAACAACAATGGTATAAAAGGGTAGGCAGAGATGAGGATATAAACTGCAAATGGCCATAGAAAAAAAACATGAGGGCCAGAAGAATGAAAAGTCCTCCCAACCAAAGGGGTTTCAAGGGTGTAGTAGCCACGCTGTAAAACTGCCTAACCATTTATTAAATAAAAGATTCTATGAATCATCCAACCTACCCCTGAAAAGAACAGAAATTTCTACAGGGATCAAGGGGTAGAAATCCTAGTTGGGTATAATCATCTGACAAGGAGTAGGAAAAAATAAATAATTTAAGGAGACTTCCGAAGACCACAGCTCAGTCAGAGATTTACAAAAAATCTATCTTCTAGTAATCAGGTCCATTGAAGGCCTTTGGATTTATACTATCCCACTTGGGGCATTACAGGACTTTCCAATGAAGGATGCTTATTTGTAGAGAAATAAACAGTGACACTCATGTGCAGAAACCTCACTGTTGGAAGTGAGTATCATCAGAAGAGGGGATATGAAAAAAGGAACAATATTTACTGTAAGAAAGATAGTGTGGTCATGAATGACACACTCAACATATGGAGCATATGGAGTGGGCTACCTGGTCTATTGCAAGGGGAATTTTCAAATCTTTCTGGAGATGAAGCTCTTGCAGCCTCTAGATTTTGTCCAGTGGAGGCTAATTCAAAAGACTGACCCAGAGAGGGATCCTTCAACTCTGGAAATAGAACTGTCTTCTCAGGAGAACCAGACTCAAGAAGTAGGCATCTGCTTGATATTAAGATGCATATAGATCACTATGAACAGAGCAAGACCTCTATGCGTATTAATTATTAACACATTAGGGCTAATTTTAATACGACAGAAACATAGCTAAACCTGCAAGGTTTCAATAATGCAATGTTAACACCAAGTTATTGAAACCTTATTCAGGTGTTAACGTGGCAAGGAAATATTTCAGATGTTAATAAAGCATAGGCAAATTACGCACATCATGCAAATCACACATTATTTTCTACATTTGAAGAATCACACACTATAGTAGATTTTAGTACTACTGAAAATAACTCACATGTGAAAAAATGCAGTGAACGCTTAAAGTACACTTGTCAAGAGAAAAAAATGGGCAAAAGAAAATGGAAAGCACTGGTTCTCTACTATTGGGTAAAATCAATTTTGCCGCATTTGCACTGAGCAGGCAACTCATATGCACAGAAGTCCTAAACGTCCTGCAGATTCACATCAGAAAAGCTTATTTTTTCATTAAAATAGTACATTAAAAATGTTTTAGGGTAGTGGATTTGCTTCAGGGGTCTGGAAGAGCCCCTTTCATTGGGGAAATAAAAACTAGTATAAGGTGCATTGCTCTGCAGCAGATTATTCCTGTTTTATTGTTTTTGTTTTAGTGGACTATTTTACTATTAATGGACACTTTTGGAGTCCTATCATGGAGTTTGGCATTCTGAATACTTATTTAGAAAGAAATATGGCAGTGCCACAGCTGGTCTCCTAACAATGTTAGTTGCTTTGCTGTGTCTAGTTTCAGTAGTTCTAATCAGTTTTGACGTGGAGCAAGCATGCAGCAAAGGAGAGCTGAAAAAAAATCTGAATTCATTATCTCAACTTGATGACAGTATTGAAGCCAAAGCATCTGCATAACAGCAATTAGTTGGAAGCAATGGCTTGAATTTTTCGAGCAATGTTTAGAAAAGGTGAGGGCACATCTGATGAATATAGAAGTGTGTTTTGAAGTGCTTGGCTTGGTTTCCAAACACTCAAAAACCCATGCAAAATGTTCTTTCCTGAACATAGCCTAAGTGTTAATATTGTTTTTATTCTTACTGTGGATTATGACAAAGTATAAAGCAGAAAAGGAGTGAAAGGTTTGTCATTTATGTTTACTGTCTTTCAGAAATGGATAAAGTTTAAAAGGGATTTTGAAAATTTTAAAACAGCCTGCATACCATGGGAAATGAAGATTAAAGAAGTGGAAAGTATGTAAGATCTTCATATTGTTTAAAAAGCACATTTTATTTACTTTCTGTGTGTCGTCTGTGTTCTCAGTGTCTGGAGACGTGCACCCATTTGTCTTAAATAATCTTTCAAATTTTACTAGCTGTCTAAATTCTTAAATAACAGAAATCCTATATATCAAGTAAGGCCCAAGGGGTATAAGATAGAAAGTGCAGGTCGCATTACAAGATAATACCTGTTCATTAGTGAAACATTAATAAACTAATAAAAACATAGACTTCCATGTATCTAGGCAGTTGATGACAGATAAAGTACAAGTGCTGTAAATAAAAGAAGTGTGAGCTAAGAACACAATAAGCTAACCAAAACTTCTATTTAATGTGGTATAGGAGCAAAGAGTCCCTAATAAGACATGCTACTTTTTTCTATAAAGCAAATGATATTCAGTCTCCAAATTATTTGATCAAAGGGGGTTACGACTTTGTTTCTAGCTAAGGGCAATTGCTCATTAAGCTGGTCTTATAAGTGTCTGGGGCGGAACAGTAGAGTGTGCTAAGCAAAGAAGACATTCTGGGAAAGTGGCATGAAATGTATTGCATGCAAGGTTTTGATTGATGTCTGATATTTCCCGACATGTGTCCTTAATGTTGGGGCAATCTCAGAACTCGTTAGAAGATACCCTCCTCCTCACAGCTGCAAAAATACTAATTTGGTCTATCTGGAAACATGAAGCCAATGAGGCATTAAATACCATACTGTTTCCCCTACAGTGCGGAACATGGATTTTTTGTTGTATTTATAAAGATTGTTTGCCATTGTTGGAGGAGAATTGGTCCCCCATTTTATATTTACCAAGCTAGTGCGGATAATGTACTGTATTTTGAGTTAGCTGAGCAGTGCGATCAAGTTTGTAAATTAAGGAGATATTACCTTTGTCTTGGGGGGAGATTTCCTGTACGGGATTACCTGAGGACAGCTGGGTGAAATAATTTTTGATTTGAAGATAACGGTATCCAGAACTGAATACCGTATTTTCCGGCATATAAGATGACTGGGCGTATAAGACGACCCCCTACTTTTCCTGTTAAAATATAGGGTTTGAGCTATACTCGCCGTATAAGACTACCCCTCTTCCAACGCACACCAAATAAAAAAACATCAGATTTGATTTCAATATGGTATGCTATTTCAGTATGGTATTCCAATGATGGGACACTATTCCTCCCACTGACACCAATAATGGGACACTATTCCTCCCACTGACACCAATGATGAGGCACTACTCCTCCCACTGACACCAATGATGGGGCACTATTTCATCCACTGACACCAATGATGGGGCACTATTCCTCCCACTGATACCAATGATGGGACACTATTCCTCCCACTGACACCAATGATGGTGCCCCATCATTAGTGTCAGTGTGTGAGGAATAGTGTCCCATCATTAGTGTCAGTGGGAGGAATAGTGCCCTATCATTAGTCAGTGGGAGGAATAGTGCCCCATCATTGGTGTCAGTGGGAAGAATCGTGCCCCATCATTGGTGTCAGTGGGAGGAATAGTGTCCCATCATTAGTATCAGTGGGAGGAATAGTGCTCCATCATTGGTGTCAGTGGGAGGAATAGCACCCCATCATTGGTGTCAGTGGGAGGAATAGTGCCCCATCATTGGTATCAGTGGGGAGAATAGTGCCCCATCATTGGTGTCAGTGGGAGAAATAGTGTCCCATCATTAGTGTCAGTGGGAGGAATAGTGCTCCATCATTGGTGTCAGTGGGAGGAATAGTGCCCATCATTAGTGTCAGTGGAAGGAATTGCGCCCCATCATTGGTGTCAGTGGCAGGAATTGCGCCCCATCATTGGTGTCAGTGGGAGGAATAGCGCCCCATCATTGGTATCAGTGGCAGAAATTGCGCCCCATCATTGCCGTCAGTGGGAGGAATAGTGCCCCATCATTGGTATCAGTGGCAGGAATTGCGCCCCATCATTGGTGTCAGTGGGAGGAATTGCGCCCCATCATTGGTGTCAGTGGGAGGAATAGTGCACCATCATTGGTGTCAGTGGGGAGGAGGAATAGTGCCCCATCGTTGGTGACAGTGGGAGGAATAGTGCCTCATCGTTGGTGTCAGTGTGGAGGAGGAATAGTGCCCCATCGTTGGTGTCAGTGGGAGAGGAACAGTGCCTCATCGTTGGTGTCAGTGTGGAGGAGGAATAGTGCCCCATCGTTAGTGTCAGTGGGGGAGAGGAGTGGCTGCTCCTTCTTTTAGTTTGGCCGCTCAGCTCCGCCTCCTCGCCGGTGATTGGTCGCCTGTGTGCCTTTCCAGTGCTGGCGCCCAATCACCGGTGAGGAGGCGGAGTCGAGCGACCATCGAGCGTCTGAACTGAAAGAAGGAGCAGCCGCGCTTCCTGGACCGGATCGTCGTGGGACCGGGACCGGAGCCAGGTAAGGTACAGCAGCCCCTCTGCCCACCCCTGTACTTAGTGTCCGTTGAAGGAGGAGGAGGGGAAGCGGCGCCGCCCCTCGAAAAAGTGCCGCCCTGACACCGGCTCACCGTATACCGGCGTATAAGACGACCCCCGACTTTTCAGAAGATTTTCATGGGTTGAAAAGTGGTCTTATACGCCGGAAAATACGGTAGTTAAATTTTAGTGGCACAAACGGGACAAATCTGACAGCCATCCAGAAGTTCTTTGTTATGGAACAGGGATCTTTCTTTGAAAGTCCATATTAGTACATTTATTTATTTCAGGTCCTTATATAGTGCCATCAATTTATGCAGAGCTTTACATATATATTGTACATTCACATCATTCCCTAACCCTCAAGGGGTGTACAATCTAAGGTCCCTAACTTACATTCATCCATACACATACTAGAACCGATTTAGACAGAATGCAATTAACCTACCAGCATGTCTTTGGAGTGTGGGTGGAAACTGGAGTACCCAGAGGAAACCCATGCAGGCAGAGGGAGAGTATGCAAACTCCAGGCAGGGATTTGAACATACAACACTAGTACTGCCAGGCGGAAGTGCTAACCATTTAGCCACTGTGCTGCCCCATAAAGTATCTGTGCTTCATATGCATAGTTTTAATTTCAGGATGATGTATAGTGTTTCCGTTTTTTTTTATTTTTTTTTATTATGTTCCAGTTAAAACATAATTATTAAATAAGCATGGTAATAATGAGATATTGCATGTAAAATGTTCATACTCATTATTTAAAGGTGACCTTGCAGTAAAAATGCAAGGTTCCCCCTTTTTTTTTTTAAATATCTTAAATTGTATTTTGCCCTCAGAGGAAGAAATTGTTGGGTGTTAGCATTACAGTTCTCCTCCATTGCTTCTTATATTTCACCTATCGGTTGCCCCCCCAGATAGACGTATCCCTCACCTACTTGGTGGGTCTTATTTGGAATGTCTCTTACATCGATTTTTGTTGAAAGAGTTTGTGCATTCCTAACCCCTCTTGACAATTCCCTTTTTTTTTTTGTAATTCTCTACTGGACCCCCACAGTTCATACTTTCTAATAATAGAATATTGCTATTCTTAAGGGTCTATAACTTATAACTTTTTTCTGTAACTTTTTCTTTTCCCTTTTCGCTTCGACCCCACCCCTTACTAGAGGGCCCATCCTCTCCTCTAGTTGAGCTTTGAAAGACTTTGCTGTGTTCTGCACGGCCTGACCTGGTACATACGGTTGCTACGTTAATTATGTCATCTATCCAGTTTACCTCATATAATGTATGTGGTTTGAATGCCCCGGAAAAGCGTTCCAAATTGAAGTCAGAAATTAGGTGCTGTAAGGCTCAGTTGGTGTTTCTGCAAAAGACACATTTTCACTTGAATAAGATCCCTACTTTGCATTTCTCTAGGTTCCCCTTTACATATCACAGCGCTTCCCCAAATTCTAAATCCAAAGGTGTTCAATCTTTATTTTGAACCAACTTCCCTGGAGGGAGACTGATGTTTTTTCGAACAATGAGGGGCGCTGTTTGTGAAGGGGACTATATTTGAGCATAAAATCACCCTGGCCAAGCTATATCTAGCAAATTATAATTAAATTATCTTTCTAGAAAGTTTTTCTAGAACTTATGGCCCAGCATAGGGAGGGCACTCTCATTATTGGAGGTAACTTGAATCTAGCTCTTGACCCTCTACTTGACACGTGCAGGGGTGCCTCACATCTGTCATATTCAGCTTTGAGAAGAGTGAAAAAATGTCTCCATTCTTACCTACTGATAGATTCATGGTGGACTACACATCCTCAAGACTGAGATTATTCTTACTTTTCCAGACCTCACAATACATATTCTCAGATAGATTATATTTTGATAGACCAACAAGCTCTCCCCCTGTTAGAATCTTCTACTTCTGGCTCTTTCTCCATTGCATGGCTCTATACACTGCATATTAAGTATTGGCCCACAGATACCGAAATGCTGGAATTGGCAATTGAATGAATGACTAGTTCAAGACTTTCAGGCCAAGGTTCAACAAGACTTGATGATATCTTTTGATACAACTTTAACTGAGGATGTCTCCCCTCTTATATACTCGGAGGCACATAAGTATTTCATTCATGGCACTTTAATTAAGTTAGGTACTCAAAGGAAAAAAGCTGTTTCCACCCAATTCGATTCTCTAGTCTCTCAAATTCAGCATTAGAGAGGGTGCATAAACAATCTTTGGCCCAAAAAGTGCAAGATAAACTGTTTTCACTCAGAACAAAACTTAATGATCTTTTTACAAATTGGGCAAAGGCGAAGTTACTTAGATGTAAGTGTGCATTCTATGAATATGGTAACAAACCAGGTAAACTGTTATCAAGGGCCCTCCAAGATGTTTGGACCAGAAACTATATACCACAAATTAGAAGTAAGAATGGTACTGTGGTTAAGGACTCTCCTCCTATAGCTGCGTTTTTTTAGTCTTGTTATATGGATCTGTATAAGCTTCACTCTGATATTGTGAGGCCTCACTCTCAAAATCAGACCCTAATTTACCACCTTTTACAG